CGGACACACATAATTATGTGCAGGGTACTATTGTATTGTAATTGTTTTTGAGTTTAAACATAAAATAGTGTATAAAAGTGTGGTGTTGATCAGTGAAACGGACAAAAGAGAGTGCCAGAAGAGACAGAGCAAAGAACCTTGTAGCTTGTCCTCTAGAATGCAGATTTTGATTCTTCCTCCTCTCTCTCTCCATGATAAGTTGGGAGAGAGAGAGAGAGAGAGTACTCCTAATAGTATTATATGTAAGACGATAGGACTCCATTTTTTTATCCGTATTCACTCTGTGTTTTAAGCTGTCTCTCCTTGAAATTCTCAGTTTAGCATTATATAATTATGATTATTTTGAAAGGGTATGGGTGGTGGTCATGTGAGGGGAAGTGGGGTTCACTTTCACTGTGTTTTAGATTGTATTAGAATAGAATCTTCTTGGACTCTCTTTCCTCTCTTCTCTTCAACGTGTATATATCATGAGACTGGGTTCTGGAGATACATATCATCATCTGTATGTATTGTTAGTGATGGTGCCTTGTGGGCTCTGTAGGATCTGTTTAGTTGCTGACAACTATGGTGAAACTCAGCCTTTGTTTTCTCTCTGCTTCCTGGGTCCCCAACCCTTCTCTTCCTTTCTCTCTCTCTTCCCCCCAATTCACTGTATGCAACTATTTAAGCCATAACCATATGGTCGGGATAAGAAAAGAAAAAAAATCCGGTGTAACAATGACACCACGTCCGCACTGATTATCTAATAAAAGCATAATAAATAAGCAACCGATAAATAAAGATCCCATATATTCTAATAACCATCATACCATTTTATTTAATAATCACCCGAGTAGAGTTTATCTTATCTATTATAAATTTATTATTGAATAGTAACAACACCTGTCAATGATAACGTGGTGTCACTGATACACCCAATATTTACGGTTCCAAAAATTACTCTTTAGTGAAACTATAACTAAATGGAATCAATCTATGATCGAGTGTAATCCATTACATTGAGTTGTAACTTCTTCCCATATATTGTATAACTTGGGTAAGATACTAAAAATATTTTTCAAAACAGTTGTCTTACATCAGAAAAAAAAAAATTAAAAAAGAAGAAGATATATTTAGGGTACATCTAGATTGATGCTTATTGACATTTTTTTTGTAGGGAGGTGCATGTGAAATATTCCCACAAATATGCATGTAACATGAATAGGGGAATGGAGTGGTAGAATAAATATATGCGCATAAGGATAAATCCAAAGCCAGAATCACGAGGATGGCATAAACAAGAACCATCAAATATTTTTTTTAAAAAAAGGACCTGTCTCCATGTCAGCCGCTGAAACTGTGCAGAGAGAGTGCAGAAGGGTAAGGGTGTGAAATGGTGGAGAAAGAGAAGAGAAGGATGAGGAAGGTTTTCAAGTCTTCTTCTTTGACCTGAGAAAAATCATTTCTATTTGTAATTTATGATCCGGACTTGAAGCTGTGATTGCTTCTTACCCGTTTCTGCGTTCTACTAACTAAAAAAAATGGACTAGTATGTGATACGTTGCAATTAAGTTTGCATACACCTAACAATCTTTAAAATCCCGCATAAAATTCAATTTTAGTCGATTATTATTGCACCAAGTGATTGTATATATTTAATGTACGTAGTTTTTTTTTTTCCTATTATACCAAACGGAACATACATTGCCTGACAATTCATCATTTTAATTATGTGTATTAAAATATATGTTATTTACTTTTATATCTTATATATAATGGTAAAAACTGTATTTATACATATATTTAAAAAAAAAAAAATACTTTTTTCATCTTACTAAACACAAAAAAAAAAAATCAATCATTTCTAATTTCTACCCCTCTTAATAAGCAGAGAGGAGAGGAGGGAATGAAGGATTTTTCCCTTTAAGGGTAAAAAGTATATCACTCATACTTTTCATCATTTTACTTTTTTCATTTATCCTACCAAAACATACAATTATCGTTGAGATGGTTGGACATTAGGAAAACACGAAAAGCACCGAAAACTGTAATTGCTAGTAATTAATTACTACTATAGCTGATATTTGTTTGAAATTTTCTCTTTCCTTCCAAATTAAAAGTGTTTATAAAATAGTAGGAATAGGAAATGTTGGCTTCCTAAGTAAGATTAAGATTGGGTAGAGTTCCAAGTGAGCTTTTTTATGATGGAACAAACCGGCAAATAAAAAGATAGAAAGTGATGATAAGGGTGGGGAAGTAGAACAGTTTTAACTTTGTTTTCCCCAATAATGAGTATCATAGCCATGATCAAAATAATCAGTTGGGTATCTTGGTGAAATAATTAGTCATCATTTTCTCATTTTTCACTTTGGGCCATCTTTTGTGTTGTCCCTACACCCACTATCACTTATCACAAATGAATCAATGCACTACTTTTATCCCACTCTAATTGCTAAACACTGATTGCATGGATTATCAATCCAATATTAATTAATATTGTGACACAAATTGTGGTATACACATTTGGCACTAATGGATCTAATTTTGATCTAAATGTTATCCGAATCTCAATTTTTTTTTTTAACTGAATCTGAATCTGAATCTGAATCTCTGTTTAATTAGCAAATGTGAGGACTGATGAAGATTTGGATAGTCATATTCGATCCGTTTATGATTTCACTCGATATAAAAGGAAACATAGTCGTTGGTCATATGTAATTAGATTAAAATTAATTTCTAGATGTGTTATTCAAATTGGAATTAATTTTTGTTTTTGAAATTAAATTCTTATTCAATGATCGTTTATCATCCATTAACCCTCATACATGGGACCCCCCCCTGATCCATATCTTCTATTCTGTTTATGTTTGATCTTACAGGCACAGAAGATTGATGCCTGAATGGATCATAGACAGATAAAAAGGAACACATATAAAAGGGTAAATGGGAGTTTGCACCTTGAAGGATTATATTATTCTTAATTTTCACTCTTAAAGAATAATTATTTCAAATTGTACTTTTAACAAAATTAATTAATAGCAATATGAACCCAACAATAATGTTCATTGTAATTTTTGTCAGATTGACATGCACGTGAGAAGCACGCGAAAATGGGAAGAGTAATAATTCAATAAAAGTTATCACATACATTTCACGTGAATATGAATTTGACGGAAAATTTTCAACGGAAGCTATGATTGGGGTTGCATTGCTACTAATAAATTTTATTGAGGCTGAAATATAAAATAATTGCTCTTTGAAAATATAAATTCAATTTTTTTTTTAAAAATTTTCAGTGTACAAACTACTTTTTGCCCTATATAAAACTGTTTTTTCTTGGGCCATTACATCTTACAAGGAAAGAAAAAGCTGTTATAGTTTTCGCAATTATTCATGGAAACTTTTTAGGCCAATAATTCAAACACCTGAGCCACGTCAGCAAACCGAAGCCGAGCTGCGCGAAGAGAAGCCATAGTTGGCGGGGCTAAAAGTAAGCAGCTATGGGTCTAGAGAGAGAGAGAGAGAGAGAGAGAGGGAGATACTTTATGCAAGAGAGTATTCGGTAAAGGTATTGGCCAGAGAGCATAAGAGTCCATACGAGTGAGGTTATATTGAAGTTTGGAATATGAAGAGAGAGACAGAAAAAGAAACAGGAGAGAGAAGGGAAGCAACAGAAGAAGGCAGTAGTAAGTAACAGAAGAAGAAGAAGAAGAAGAAGAAGAAGTGAAATGTCGTCACCACAGGCTTTAAATCCCATCACGGAGTTCGATGTGTCCTTTACCTTATACATATCTGCGAAAGAGCAGAAGGAGAGTTGTAATAGAAAATGATGGGATTCCAAATTGGAGAGAGTGTTGGGTTGGTGCCATTAAACAACAAAAGGATACCTACAAATTCACAACAAGAGGACACACTCCGTTTGACGTGAACTCAAACCCTCACCACCTTCCTCTTCCATTTCTTCCTCCACACCTATAACAAATTTCTTATTCTGACTAGAAATATCATACATAATGACCAAAATACCCTTCAACAAGTTTCACTAGAACAAGGAAAAAAATCATTCTATGACTAAACCAAGTATTCATAATAATGCATTTGAAACTTTGATTTCATTTGGGAATGGGGTCGTGGAAATTAAGTAAAAAAAGGACTACATAAAGGCAAATTGGGTATTGGGTTATGGAGAAGAGAATAAATTCTTTACAGCTTTTCAATCAAAATGCAATAGTTACAGAAACACACAATCAAATGTTGAAGATTTTCAATAAATTTGTGTAATTCTCAAATTTTGTTTGACTGCTCCTAAAGAATCTATTTTCTATGGAGAAAAAGGTGATTCATTTACGTCTAATATCAACAGAAGTTATGACGGCACTTTTGAAATTAGTTGACTTCACAGGAGTGTGGTCTAATCTAACCATTAAATGAAGGGAAGCTTAGCCAAAAAAAAAAAATTTAAGACAAAGAAATTCCAAATAATTTAGTGGTATTTAAAGACTAAAATGTGTAATTTTATTGTGGAAACTAGTTATTGAAATGGGATTGATCTCAACTGGAAATACTTTTGTTACAAAACCCTAGTGAGCAGTCTTGAGTGGCAAGTGGTAGTATGTGTGATCAATGACAATAACAAAAAAGGGGGAAAGATTTCCCGAAAAGACAAAAAAAGGAAGGAAGAAGGGTGCCACCGTAAATTCCCTCCCACTACTGCCTGCGCCCTCTTGTGCGTGATTTCGAGTGGGTGAGAGCGGGATCAAGGGTCAGTAGAAAGAAAAAGAGGAGAGAGAAAGAGTGTCACGGGTTTGTCTTGAAAGGCCCTTATTTTTCACAGTCCTAGACAGACAGACACATATTCTCTCCCACTACAAAACCGAGGTCGCCAAAGTAAATATAAAATTCACAACCCCCTTCTCTCTCTCTACATTTTTATCACTCAGTTATATCTAACCCACCCATCAAAACCCAAAACTCAAACCCCAAGTTTCAACCCTCCTCTCTGTCCCGCAATCTAACATAAAAGAAGAAGAAGAAGAAGAAGAAGTGTGTTACTGTGCTATTTTTTTTTTCCACCTTCAATGGCTTTGATGCTAGACAACTGTGAGGGTATGTTACTCTCTTTGGACTCTCACAAATCTGTCCCAGCACCATTTCTCACCAAAACATACCAACTGGTCGACGATCCAACCACCGATCACATAGTCTCTTGGGGAGAAGATGAATCCACCTTCGTCGTTTGGCGTCCTGCTGAGTTCGCCCGTGACCTCCTCCCAAACTATTTCAAGCACAATAACTTCTCTAGCTTCGTTCGTCAGCTCAACACCTATGTATGAACATTGAACCCTCATTCTCTCATATCACACACACCCACGTACAAAAAAATCTTAACTTTTCTACGTTTTTGATTACATATATTATAGTTGTTTACTGATTTGCTTTTGTTTTTGATTTTGGGTGTTGAAAAAATTTAGGGTTTTCGAAAGATGGTACCAGACAGATGGGAGTTTGCGAATGAGTTCTTCAAGAAGGGAGAGAAGCACTTGCTTTGTGAGATCCACCGGAGAAAAACATCTCAGCCTCAAGTTGCGATCAACCACCATCACCACCTCAACCACCCAATTGGTGGCCCGAATGTCTTTTCCTACCCAACCCGTGTCAGCATTTCGCCACCTGACTCAGATGAACAAGCCAATTGGTGTGATTCACCACCGTTGTCTTCTCCAACTGGAGTTACTGGAGTCTCAGTCATCGACGGCGGTGCTGGTGGCTATAACAGCAAGGTGATAGCGCTTTATGAGGATAATGAAAGACTACGGCGAAGTAACAACATGCTCATGTCTGAGCTAGCTCACATGAGGAAACTATACAACGACATTATATACTTTGTTCAAAACCATGTGAAGCCTGTGGCACCAAGTAACTCTTACCCTTCTTCTTTTCTTCTACCCAACTCATCACCAGCGTCTGCTACTCCTTTTAACAGTTCTTCAATGATGCAAAAGCCTTTGAACCAGTTTATTGGGTTCCATCAGAATAACCCTAAACAAGGTCCTCATGGTAATGTTATGAGTTCCTTCAATTCTCCAAGCAAAACTTTCCAGAGCACTATGAATATACTTGAAGATTCAGATAGTAATAGCAGTAGAATGAAGCTGTTTGGTGTGCCACTTCAGTCAAAGAAAAGATTGCACCCTGAGTATGGTTCTTCGGTGGCCAATGTGGAGACTAACAAGCCAAGATTGGTCTTGGAAAAGGATTTTTTAGGGTTGAATCTCATGCCTCCTTCTCCATGTTAGCTTTCTCCACTTCATTCACGAATTCTACTCAAAGTTTCAGATTTCTCTTCCCTATTTTGGTTTACCTTTATTTTAGGTTTTTTTTTTTTTGTTTGATTGTCTTGTTTCGATGGAGTCTTAGTATCTGATAGTATTGATGAAAAGTTTCTGCGTGTGCGTTCGTGTGAGTCTTTGTGTATATAAAACTTTAGTGGCGGTGTTATCTTGTTCCCCAACCATGAATGCAGTTGGGTTTTGGGTTAAGCGTGTAGATCACATCAAGTTTCAATCGTCAATACCATAGATTTTTTCCTAGCTTTCCACACCATTGAGTAGTGCAATTTAATCTTCTCAATTATGGGATCTCCTCTTCTCTTCTCAGTTCTCCTCCTTTTCCTTTCTTTCTGGGTTTTGCTGTCTGAAAGTTTCAGTTACATTAATTACAGCGAGAGAGAGAGAGAGAGAGAGAGAAGGGTTCCAGACTGATTCATTGACATTTTTTCTCTGGGGCTTTCTCTGATCAATGCATTAATGGATGATACGTACAAGTATGTCCATTTGCCCGAGAAAATAGATCTTTTAATTTTCAAAACCGTTGAATGAATATTATTTATTGTAAATAAAAGAAGAAAAGCTTGAACAATATATATAATTACTCGCTTCTCAAAATTCTATTAGCACTATCATTATTGTCGTAATTATCATCATTATTTTCAAGAAGAAAGTTTACTATTACTAAGATTTAGGAAAAGAAAACCATCATGTCTTTTGATTAAGGTTATGATCTCCACTTCTCGTTTATTTGAGCAGTCAGGAGCAGGAAACAAACACAGAGATAAGAGAACAAAGTCATACGAAAAATAAAAAAAAATGGTGGGTTATTCGATGAAAGCGAAATGCTGGAGAACTGACTAAAAATGTGGATTGAAACGTTTCTATCAAGGCTTCTATACTTCTTCTTCTGAGGACCAGAAAACCTTTGCCTTTTCCCACTTTAAGTATCTGATCAATGTCTTTAAACTTCTCTTTGGATCCCTCCCTTCTCTTTCCTTTCTACCCTCCTTTCTCTTCTTCCAACCTACCTCTCTTTCCTTCTCCTAGACACAAAAATCCAATCACTGACGAACGAGAGAGAGAGAGACCACTTGACTTGTAGATGCAAAAAACCATTTCTTTTATTACTTTTCTTGTTCCTTTGTACAATATCCCCATACTAGTAAAGTCTCAACATAAAGTTTGACTAGGCCTTCTTCAAGCTTTTGCTTTCTTGACTCTTGTTGTTCATGTATTATTTAACAGTTATTAAATAGCAGAACAGAGACAATCTGAGAAACCCAGATGGAAGAAAGAGAAGAAGAAATAACTATTCATATCTAGAGAGAGAGATAGGTAGGTGGGAATGTAGGATTAGAAAATCTTGGCCGTGCAATGATTTGGTTTCAAACTAAAAAAAACCCTAACCCTAGTTTTCGCACAAGCTGGGTGCACCTACGTTCTCCTTTTGTCTTTTTATGAGGGGTGTGGCACGTGACCGGAAACTGCACGTGCATTGTAGAAGGATACGTCTAGTCTAAAATAAGTGGGATTGGCCATATAAAAAGGGCTATACGGATCATCTGATAAAGATGCTTTAAGGGAGTGTTTGTTTGTTGCTTAACAGCCGTATTGGACCATATGAGTTGGAAAAGGGAAAGAGGGAAAGAGAGAAAGAGAGAGAAATTGAGTTTTTATAAAGACCTGTTTGCTTCGTTTACTCTTTTTTAGTGCACTTTGTTGACACTTCTATTCGTATTCCACTTTATTGACAAACTAGGCTTTGTTTTAGAATATTTGGTTTATGTAGCTGAGGATTCAGGCAAACAAATATTTTATCTAAAGGGGTTTAGAAGCACCCTACTTTAGTGGGAGGTGTGGAGCTTTCTGTTTTCCAATTTTCAAAAATTTTATGCAATCATTCTGTGTTGAGATTTCTAGATTTTGGTGATATTATTGTTAGCTAAGTTTCATGGAAGCTGCCCCAAAACATAATTACTAACAAATTTTTTTGGTTTTTTAGTTCAGCAGTTATAGATGTCAGAGTTAACTTAGACACACCTCGACTAATTACGAAAAATATCATTCAAATGAAAGTAGATTTAAGAACATATTATGCGGCCAAAGTTTGAAGGGATTGGTCTTTTTAATTTTGGAAAAGTGTAAGAGAGAAGAGTGTATATAGTTTAGAGATATACTTAAGCCAATCATAGTATGATAAAAGAAACTTTGGACATTATGACCATTCTTGGAGCCCCTTAAAGTGTTATAAATTTGAATTTGATAGGAACCCAATGGGAAAATTCAATAGATTTTGTTTTGGTTGTGCATATACAAATTTGTTGAAAACTAAAAAATTGATCTAATTTATATAACTTAATCAAAGTTAATACTTAACCAATTATATCTGAATTTCATAATCACTCAATTTTACCCTATGTTTGTATATGGTTATATATAATATAGATAAACTTACTATTTTGAACCCGCTTATTGTGATTCAATAGACAATCGATGGTGATTAATAGGATTCGAATTCAAATCCAATTCATTTACCCAGAACAACATGCTTCTGCAGACTTAATTATGCATTAGAGGGCATGCTTGTAATACTAGCCAAAACGTGAAGGGTTGTAAAAGGCCAAATAAAGAAAATATATATTCAACCACCAAAATTAACAGTAATGATGATTTGGAACATCTAAAGAAGTTTGACAACGGCGATGAAATCTGCGGTTGGGTCAAAGGTCTGCAGCAGCCGAGGTTGCTGCCTATGCCTAGGTTCAAATTTCATGAAATGATTGGTGAAGATTAGAACAATAATATTTGCATAATGAGTTCAATATCTACTTGGCAGTTTCATTCCTGCCTTGTGTGTATTCATGTCAATTGAACCGAATATTATATAAGATATTGGAATTATTAACCTCTCCGAGTAAGAGATATTTTGGGACTTAAAACGAAAATAATAAATGAGATATTTTTATTTTTAATATTAATAATAATAATAATTTTAATTTTAATTTTTTTAAATATAAATTTTTATTACCATATTTGAACTTTTGATGGTAAGAAAGAAAGAATGGTTGAAAAATTATGATAGTAAGTTTAAACTTAATTTTTTGGGATGTTCAGACTAATTTTTTACTAGATTTAATTTTATTGCTAGTTTTTTTTCTTTTTTTTTTTAAAAAAAAATTAGTGCCTTTTAATTTTATAGCTGAATTAATAGGTGCAATCTACTTAAATTAAAAAATTTTATTTGGGTATGGTTTTAAATTTTTTGTTTAGACTATTACTACGCATTCTAAATTATGATGTCTTCCTTAAAGTGGGGCCTTAAATTTTTTTTTGAATGGGCTTGTGTTTTTAAAAGGTTTTTTTGTAAGACTTAACATATTTTTGAATTTAATTTTTTTACATGAATTATTTATTATATCTAAAAATTTGGGATTTTCTTTAAAAAAAAACCTAAAACTCAAGCTTTTTCAACAACCCTATTGAGCCGCCTCTAGACTATGCTGGAAATTATCCATTAAAATCAGTTAAAGTTGAGATCATCCCCAGAAAATATTAATTTCAAAGGTTTATACCACATCATTAGGAATATGTAGCGTCGTAAACTAATAATAATTTATTAAAATTAAAATATCCAAATTTACGATTTATCTTCCATCAAAACCCCGTCACATCAACGATCCGCCATGGATGGCTATACCGAGACAAACTCAAGCAACGCTGCGTAGCGTTTCAGATACTAGAGTGGCCCAATGTTGGTGGCCCACCCAACAACTCAGTTTTCTGTTTAGGAGGTCCAAAATCTCAATATCAATGGCCCATTAGCCAATATCCTTGCTATGATTTTTTTTTTTTTTTTTGGATAAAAAAAATATTTCCTATGATATATTTCAGAGTATTGTTTCGGCTACTTAAAAAATAAAAATGTTTGAAAATTATTTTAAAACTAAGATAAAAAATTTAAGTATTTACCAAAATTTTGATCAAAATACCGAAATAGCTTGAAATAAGTTCAAATCATTCGTGGAAACATCTCGAAATACCTTGAACCATTTTAAAACACTAGCAATAATATAATACTTGAAGACACTCTGTAATATAAAAAATGGAGCACTGATCGTTTAATATTTATATTTTAAATAGTAATTTATTTATTTTCTTTTTTAATATACAATCTAAAATCAAAGTGAACATTGCAAAAATATGTGTGAGAGAGAGAGAGAGAAAAAAAAAAGATAGGTATTGATTAGTGGGGTTGACTAACACAGGAGAGTATGTTGGTTGAGTTGTCTAACATTGTGATAGGAAAGGAATATGATGTTTTTGAACAAAAAAAATAGGATGGATTTTATACCATGGAAACAAAATAGATAAAAATTGGATTAATTTTTAACCATTGTTGAGCACTTATAAGTTGAGGGTTTAATTTCTTAAGTATATCGAAGCGTTAAAATTTGATTAAATCACTAATTCATTTTGATCTCATAGNTTTCTTAAGTATATCGAAGCGTTAAAATTTGATTAAATCACTAATTCATTTTGATCTTATTGAANTTAACCATTGTTGAGCACTTATAAGTTGAGGGTTTAATTTCTTAAGTATATCGAAGCGTTAAAATTTGATTAAATCACTAATTCATTTTGATCTCATAGAAAAAAAAATAATTTTTAAATAAATTTATTATCTTGCACAACACTGGTGCTCTTAAAACGACATTTTATTACTATATGTTTAACGTTTACCCTGCATCATCGTACTCTGGTTCAAAAATAGGCCTATACATGTGGGCCTATTTTTTGGTTGGGCTTAAAGCCCTCCTTTATGAATATGGACCTTTTTCTTGTTGGGCCTAAAGCCCTGATTTAAATTTATTGAAGCCGCCCAAGACCTAAGTCTCAGAACTCCTCTTCAAGTGAACCAATGGAAGAGGAACTGGTGATAGCTTCATCGCCAACCGACGCCGGCATCAGTTGTTGGAACTTACGGTCCGGCGCCGAGCACCTTCGCTATAAATCATGCTCCTCCCCTTCTCATGGCCTTGCCTGTATCGGCGGCCGCTTTCTTGCCTCTTCTCAACTCCGCGAGTCCAAATCGTCCTCGGGCTCCGTCCTTTACTGGTCCTGGAACAAGGTTTTAATCTCAATTCGTATTTTATATACCTCCGAATAGGTAGTTGTATGTATGTCAGACGTACTGAAGTTAAGGTGTTTGATCTGTTGCTTCTTTGAAAAGATTCTGAATGTACCTGTATATTTTGTGCTATGTTGAAGGCTTGAGTGGTTTTTTAGTCGTTTTACTTGGCAGGTTATCTAAAAACTCAAGATGTGTTTCGTTTTCGTTTTTGTAATTTTGTTATTATTGTTTTGAATTGTGCAGCCTCAGGTAGAAGTTAAGAGTTTCCCTGCGGAGCTTATTAATCCCCTCGTTTCTAACAGGGAGGGGACTTACATTGTTGGAGGAGGTGTATCGGGTGATATATACTTTTGGGAGGTATATTTTCTCATATACTATTTTATCTGAATTAAGACAGAGCAATGGAAAGGTGATTGCAGGCATATTTTGACTTGTCTATGGTGGTATGTTTGGTATGTTTTTCTTATAGGTTTTGACTGGTAGACTGCTTAAAAAGTGGCATGCTCATTATAGGGCTGTTACTTGCTTAATTTTTTCTGACGATCAATCGCTTCTTATTTCTGGGGCAGACGATGGATGTGTCCGGGTCTGGTCGCTCTTCATGTATGCGTTTAGACTTTTTTTTTTTTGTTTCCATGAGTGATTGGGTAATGGAACCACTACTAATTACAAGTTTCGTGGCAATTAGGATATTCGATGATCTACGGAGGCATGAAGCGAGGCATCTTTATGAGTATAGTTTTTCTGAGCACTCTTTGAAAGTGACTGATATTGCTACAGGTTATGGGGGATGCAATGCGATAATTGTGTCCGCTTCTGAGGACCGAACTTGCAAGGTTTATATGATCTATACTTAGTTTTGCTGTTACTTGAAAAAACATAATGTGATGGCTGCCAGTTACTTAGTTCGACCCTATTTACTTGCTCTAAAGTCAACTGGAAATTACCAAGTGCTCTTTTTTCTATGACCACTAATTTTTTCTTCACCTTGAAAGAGAACTATGTACAAAGAATATTTCATTTCATAGATGATGTTTAAGAGTGTAAACTATATCAGGTATGGAGCCTATCTGGGGGGAAGCTATTAAGAAACATCGTGTTCCCATCAATAATAGATGCAATTGCAATGGACCCTGGTGAGCATGTCTTCTATGCTGGTGGTAGGGATGGTAAGATATACATCGCTGCACTTAATGCTCAAGGTGTCTCCAGGAGCAATTATGGGCCACATATCATTGGTTCACTATCTGAACATAGGTTGTCAACTCTTCTAAAAATCTAATTGTTATGTGTTTCTGAATAATTTGATATGGAAATTTCGTAGTTTTTCCCTAGAGATCCAGTGACTCTACCATCATCAAGGGGATGCCTCGGATTTTGACTGTGGAATGTTGCTTGCTTATTCTTCTTTCGTCTGGGCTTTGTTGCCTACTATGAAATTATTGGGTGGTGATAGTCATTTTTGAATAGTATTGTAATGTTATTTCCTTTTGGCGTCATTGCATCTTCCCAAACTGAGTTATCTATCTAAAGAAGTCGTCAAATATTCCAGGATCCCTTCTCGTGAGCTATTTCTATGTGGCACTTGCACATTTACTGTACACAAATAGATATATTTACGTCATTTAACAGATGAGATGATTGTTGCATAATCGGATAAGCTGGCAACACATATGCTTTATGTAGTTTTCTTTTGCCTGATATGATGTGACTTTCTGTATTGAACTAATTTTTCCTCTTTCTGTGGAACAGTAAGGCCATAACTTGCTTATCTTTTAGTGTGGATGGAATTCTATTGGTTTCTGGATCAGAGGATGGCATGGTTAGAGTTTGGGACACTAAAACACGTAACATCATTCGTATTTTTAAGCACGTGAAAGGTATGATAAGAGTTGTATTCATCTTATTAGTTTTGGTAGTCTTAACGGAATTACAAAGGTGCCCTCATATTATACTTTTGTAATTAGGAGATATGGCCCATGGATGACACTTGAAGTATCAAAATTGAAATTAATGATTTGTCAAATATGACAATTGTCAACGATTCAAAATGCATATATTCATGACTTGATACAGGGATAAGCAGCAAATTAATTGATCCAAATATAAGCTCAATACTATGTTGAACCATTATGGTATGAAGAAATCTGGTTGTAAAACATACATGCAATAACTCAGCTATAGCTTTTTCATTCCATATTCAATTTTTTACTATTAAGTGGTAGTATATCAAATTCTTGTGGAACTTTTTTTTTTCTTAAACAAAAAAATATTGAAGCAGAATACAATTTTTATTTTTGTTGCTGTTGCTGTTGCTTTATTTCCCTTTGTTTTCCAGCTAGCATAGCAGTCTCTGACCCCCACATTATCATCAGTTCTTTCCCCCCCACCTTCATTTTAAGAGATTGTCTCCTGATTTTTCCACTGTAGGTACAATTAGCAATGTTCTAGTCATTAGACAATCACCATATTTGATTCGTCCAACGTTAATAAATTCTCAAGCTCCCTCAGCGAGAAGGCATGGTCCGGTACTACCCCCACCACTGGAAAAATACACAGATTCAATGGATGAAAATGCAGATATTAAGGCCATCATCCCTCCGCATGTTACTTCTGACAAGCCCCTGGATGCTTCATACATCAGTATTCAGACAATGAGTAGTCAAATCCGAGAACTTCAGGTTGATATTTGCTATGATTATTTGCTTGTTATGTCACCTTATATATATATATATATATATATACACACACGCACACACACATATGCATGTATGTATATATTTTTTGAGAAAAATTCCACAAGCTCTATATTTGCTTTTATGCCCACTTTTAAATTTAATTGCTTATTCTAAATGGTACTATAACAGTACTGCTTCTGTTTTTATATGTAATTGAATTGTACATATCTGCTGTTAATTATAGATGAAATAGTAAACATGTTTTCTGAACTTGCTAATTGATGGGTAAGTTTTGTTTCCCTCGATCTTTACTTTGTCTGTTTTCTTAATCACGCACCAGCTTTGCAAAGCCTTTGGTTTTCCTCAAACCTTTTGCTTTTGTTTTCAAGATCTGACTCACTGTGCCTTTACAAGTCCAAAGGGAGCTAATTTGTTAAACAATTTGACTACTTTGTGTTGAAAATATTTGGCATCTGATCCCTCTGATTATACCTCCATTGCAATATGTGTTTGATTTATGTAGAAGTTGCATTACAAAGAAGTTGTTCAATTTGTGGGAATTAGTATTGGAGTACAAAGTGCACCTGAAATCTCGGTAACATTTGTTCCTGGTCTTATTTTCAGCAACAAGGTTCTTCTGCGGCTTCTGAAATGGAGACAGAAAGACTAAAGCTTGATTGCAAAAGATGTATGCAGATGGTTCAACAGTGGAAGAAAATGTATGAAAACTTACATCAGTTTTGTGTAAATGAGCTTTTGGATGGAGATCAAGCTGGAGGTGCTAGTGGACACTCCTGAGGTGGTTTCCCTGTGCCGCACCTTTACTGTTTATAGGTACACATGATGACCATAACTTTATTGCTATGCTATTTGGAGAATTAGATTTCTAATATGCATATAGAGGGGTGTGCACTGTGATTGAAGTGATGCTGATTCTTATGGGGTTTTTATTCTCCTTTTTTTTAAGTTACCTACTGGATCGAAGCACGGTTTTGGAACTGAGTTCACATCCATTATCTCATAGTTATTTGTGTGGTGCTGAGGTCACTAAGGGCACACTTATATTTTCATGTTCGTTAATGTACTTCTGAGATTTAGGTCAAGTTGTAATATACCTGTGGTTTTCTGTTTCTGTCAACTAATGTATTCTTTAAGGCTAGTCTGACTTTTGGCTGCCTTATTCTGGGAAGGATAAGTTCTATCATGTCTCAGTTTCTATGTAATCTTTTTGTTTCCTTATGATGATTAGTTTCAATGAAGTCATTGAAGTGAGAGACTCTTCATGAACTTTCAGCCCCGATTTTTTTTGTGGATTGGTTGTTTTTGTAACTCGAAATTTGCAGATCTTTTTCTATTTCTAAAGGTGTAGTTTGGCAATTCATATTGATGTTAGTGAAGTTAATAATAATCTTCTGCATGCAACAAACAGATTCCTTTACTGCTAGTAAACTTAGATTTCAATTATAAATGCTCTCTGAAACAATATGGAACACAGATTTGTGAAGCATCAAACATGATGGGGGGGCCCTTTCCTAAGCAGTCCTACAGATTTATTATTGACAGATTTGATATGTAAGTGGTGTATAAAGGGAAAATGCAGCAAAGCAATTACAGTTTCTGTTCTGATAATAGTTGCGAAAGGATGGGTTGCCTGGGCAAACACAATGAGCATGCAGGACTAATGATGCTCTTCATCTCCTTGTTTGATTCAACATCCTTTTATAGGCAAATAATTTTCCATTTTCAGCTCTATAGGTCTCTCTGGTGGTCTGTTCTTCTTCTTTCTTTTTCTTTTTCATTTCCACTTTTTTTTTTTGCAGCAGTTTTGCTTTGAAGGTATTAAATATGTGCCAGTAGCTTGGATTCCCTTGAAGCAGTTTTGTGAATTCAATCCATGTATCTCTTGAACATGGGACTTTTTGTTTGCTTTTCCTTCATTTCCCCTACTAATTTCTTGTCTGCAGGTTATTCACCATGGATGCTGGAGAACTGAAAATTTTGGGATAACTCATGAAAAAACCTGCATAGAATACTAATTAGNGAACATGGGACTTTTTGTTTGCTTTTCCTTCATTTCCCCTACTAATTTCTTGTCTGCTGGTTATTCACCATGGATGCTGGAGAACTGAAAATTTTGGGATAACTCATGAAAAAACCTGCATAGAATACTAATTAATCAACTGTCCTCTGTAGTCTACAAATCTCACTTATGTTTAACATCAGTTTGTATATGTTTTTTCTTGCTGCTAATTGCAATCTGTTGCTTGAATCTTTCTGCCACTGGAATTGATCGAACTGTTTCTATTTTGGTCTAAGCCCTTCTCTGGTGCTTTCTCTTTCTTCTCCCCCCTTCCCCAACAAATAGTTTCTAAGATGAGACTATAGTTTGGCAGTTGGCATTATCGCATACTGATTTGCGGTAGATTTTGATATAATGTATTTGTCAATAATGATCATCGCGGTTCCCTCTGGGACCTTACTAATACGACAAGATCCGATTAATCATGAACATTGATGTTGCTCTTTGTGAATCTCAACATGCAATGGTTGGGATGGGTAGGTCCCATCGTTTCAGTTTCATCTAGGCGGGAAAAATAATAATGGTAACAAATAATTTAATATTATAATCGGTCCTTTATTTTTGTAAGAAGAAAATTTTAAACTAAGTTAAAATGTTTTAGTGGTTAGTTAAGTTATTTACTTTTTTGTAGAGGTGTTCATCCTATCTTACAGGTAGGAAAGAGGGTTTTTTATCTTTTTATCCAATATTTTACGGAAGAATTTTTTGTTGACCTATCTTACCTGATCAAGTGTAATATTTTTACTTGACTTTTGTTCAAATTAATTAGTAAGGAAGTCGGGTGAACACGTTTTATAGTTATTAATTTTTGGATCATTTTAACAATTCAATTAAGTAATTTACACTAATTTAATAACACAATAAACTAATAATCCTAAAACTTAAAATTTGAACACCCCTACTTTCTTGTGGTATTTTGACTCAATTTTAATTTGCCAAAAGTTGTAAATATTTAATCTCAAAGAGTAGCTCAAGTGATTAGAAGAACGAGTTGTAAATTCATGTGTCATAAGGTCGATCCTTGACATTTCCTTAAGTTGAGGTTACGAGGATTTATTTTTTATGAATATTCTAATCTTAGTGTGAATGTATTTGTTTTTGATTGGACTAGAGAATAAATTAGTCGAGGTATACATAAACTGGAACAGACACTCATAATCTTTGAACCAAAAAAAAAGTTGTAAATAATTTTAAAAAACTAAATAATAACCGAATTATTTTTCTGTAGCATTCTACCACGAATAATCCAGAAGTATATGTCCGTATTAATGACGCAAAGAAGCCCTCAGTTGAAGATTTTTTTACCTTTGTAAAGCTTATTGGCATTATGAAAAAAAACGGAATTAGCACAATTGTTTCTTTTTTGGGCGTGAACCACGTGCATGAGCTAAAGCCTTTAATACAAAACCAATTCACTCGCAGCCCAAGAAGGTGAGAGCCCAATAAGGCCCTCTTAAGGGAAAGACCAGCCCGTGAGACAACCAGAGGCTGATATTGACGTATTTGAATTGCAGCATATACAATCAGAGAAAGCTAACCAGCAAAAATGGAAAGTCTAGTTGAAGAAACTCTTCTACTTCTGCACTCATTTCCTTTCCAAGAAAAGGGTACTCTGACAATGAGATCACAAAAGGTTGAAGCCAAACAATTGGCACGATGCTTTGACTCTTTTGCCCAAATTGGGCAATCAAGCTATCCACCCGTGTTGATTTGATGAAAATCATGTGTGGGGAGAGAGAGAGAGAGTTGGGACCACTTCTGATTGCATGTTTCTTTTCTGCTCTTGAGCCTGCCTATAGTTCCCCACGAGGGAGGGTGGTTCGGAGAATGGGGAGGAATTAAAATTGTTATAAATTTTTAAGCAAATAATATTATTTGTATCTTCTTAATCCGAAATGGCTGAGTAGAGGATAGACATAGGAAGCGTCCTCCACGAGAGCTTCCTTTGATAGAAGTAAGTCTTATGGTATATTAATATAGCAATTTGCGTAAGTCTTATAGACACCGAAAGCTTCAAGAAGAAAGAAAAGATCCAAAACCCGCCATTACTCAATTCCCCTTCTGGGAAATGCACTTCATTTGATTGAAAAGCCAGTCTCTTGCAATAGTTGGTCTAGTCTTTGGCTCCATCTTAATGGGAAATCTAATGCATTGTTGTCATTGTATTGATAGTAAAATTCATTCAATCTTCCTAATATACATTGGGTCCTTATATTAGATTCAAATAATACTCATAGAAAAAAATTCTACTATGGCAAAATCTAAAGAATATATTGTTATACATTGCATGCAGAGAGATTGTTTTAATAATTCAAACTCATTACGTATAGGTCATAATAAAATATCCTTACTCATGTATCAAGACCCACCCTCACATTGTGGATACTATATAGTAATAAATAATTTATACATAATGAGTATTATAAAATGTGATGTGGGGGATAGAAGATAAGGTGATGCCACCGTGATAATGCAAAGTAAAAAAATCCACCCAACAACAATATCTCTATTCTCTGGATTCTTTTTATCCAATCGGACCTCTTCTTGCAGAGAACATGTCCCTTTATTCATGTCTTCTTGATAAAATACTGTATTGTATTATTTTCAATGGCTAGAGAGAGAGAGAGAGAGAGAGAGAGAGAGAGAGGAGGGTGGTGCAATGGTTGGTACCTACTGGTCATCAATTTGGACAGTACTTTGAAATCAGTGTGCTGAGAGTTTTCTTGTGCTTTGTTTTGGATTGGTGTTGCAGAAAAGAGAGTGTAAGCAAAAGCACCCCAAAACAAACACATGCATGCTTCTTTTCTGCTTCTTTTCCTANGTGCTGAGAGTTTTCTTGTGCTTTGTTTTGGATTGGTGTTGCAGAAAAGAGAGTGTAAGCAAAAGCACCCCAAAACAAACACATGCATGCTTCTTTTCTGCTTCTTTTCTCTTCAAGTAAATAAATATTGAGTAAAATGGTGAAACTATGTCATCATTAATACATAGTGTCACAATTTATTAATAAATCTATAAATAGGTAAGGTGAACCTCACTTGAGAAGTATTTCGCACTTATTAATTAGGGCGAAAAAATCTACAATCAAAGTGAATATTTGTTTTTGATGATTAGGTTACCTTGTTGAGCACCCGATAATCAATGCACAAGGGTGGTTACTATAATGTGCGGGATCTACTTGTTTATTTATTATGTTTTAATTAGATGGTAATATCACATATCAATAATTACGTAGTGTCACTGTTGCACCTAATATTTTTTTTTTCTCTTCCCACCCCCAAAGTATAACTATTACTATTCAACACTGTAATTATCTTTTTGTGATTGTTTGTAATTTAACTCGGTGACATTGTCTTATGCAATTGACAATCTTAATTCCTTAAGATATTTAGGATTGCAACGTAACCACTAATGAGATCGACAATTTAGTCTACAAATCTTGTAATTTTTCAATTTTTTCTTGGAAAGAGGGAAAAAGAATAATCTGTTTAAGATAACAAAAAATGAAATGACCATGTTACTTGTACTTAATTTGTTAATTTGTTAACCTAATCACTTTTTGTCATTGGTTTGATAGTGAACCTTATTATAATTGAGATCTGTTATTAATTCAATGACTAAGATGTATTAAGTAGTTAATAAAGTCGATAAATTAAATTTAAATAGNACTTTTTGTCATTGGTTTGATAGTGAACCTTATTATAATTGAGATCTGTTATTAATTTAATGACTAAGATGTATTAAGTAGTTAATAAAGTCGATAAATTAAATTTAAATAATATTTTTCAAATGAAATATAGGATGCACGAAGTCAAAAAAATCATTTTAACATGTTGTTTTCTTAAAGATTTTAACTATCGATCGACTTTTGACCATGAAATTTGTAGCAGTGAGAGCCTCCGCTGGAACTTTTTTGTCCTTCTGTCATGAACCCTCCCATTACTCTCCAAAGGATTGGTGTTCTATAGAATGACCAAACACAGCTTTAGTATGTGTCTGAGTCTATTAAATTCTGTTGTCTTTTTTTACCATAATCTTCCTTGTCGCTTCTTGCAGACCTGATAGGTTATTTTTATAACACCCTTTAATATAAATGTCTCTATCAATGTCTCATCATCTCATTATACCACTGATGGTGCCGGTCAATCAAACCTATGCATTTGTATTATTATTAATTTTTTTTTTTGAGAAATAAGATAAATATCATGACATGATGGGAATGTAGATACAATCGGAGGGATCGAGAAATGTTATTAGAATCTAAAAATTTGATTTAATTTATTGATCTAATTTATTGTGATATTTGGATTGGTTGTAGGTCTCATTAAATATTAAAATTTGGTGTTGATTCAATGATTTTTATTAAATCACACCATTATGTTAGTAAATTAAGTCAAATTTTTAGATTCAAATAACATTATTTATTTTAAATTTGTATTCTACCAAGTGATAAAAGTGGTTCAAACTCAAAAGTCTATGTTTACAAGACAGAGCATTGTAATCGAAATTCACTATAAATGATAAGAATTAAAAGAGGTTTTAAGACAAATGTCTGCTTGTTCTAATTGGATTAAATTGTCAAACGGGTTATCAAAAAAATTTATCACACTCCATGTGAAGTCTTATAAAATGTTTAACTTAAATACTACGAGTTGGAACAAAATACAAGACATCCACAACAGTGAAAACCACTGTTTAAAGCAAAAGAGTGTAGAATCTTACTTTTTAATAATGCAATACTTTAGAAAGAATTTGGTATATATATATTTTTTGGTTACAAACTTTTGTCGACTATTCTCTTAAACTCAACGGTTGACTACCGTGATTTGATATGAATTATAGCATATTCCTAAAAAAATGAAGAGTTACTAACCCTTAGTAGACTAGAGAATAAATTGAACATGAAACGTTTGCGTTATCAAAAATTAAATTCAACAACGGGAAGAACCATGATTTATGCTATTACAAGATTACTCAAATCATGAGTGGCAGGAATACAAAGAATATATTTTCAGAATAAATAATTGATAATAGGATAACTTACAGGGATTTCACATTTTAATAATTATACTGAAACCCCAGAGAGAAACGATATACACAAAAGGCTTAACAATATGAAGGAAAAGCCCAAGTCGGAGAGCTTTTTCACCGAAGTAAAAGGGGGCGAGTAAGCACAGATCACCGCCAGTAAGACCGTTAGCAAAACCAGCACATGAAGCAGTTGCAGAAGGACCTGATCCACCTCGAAAAGCGTTCCTGGGCAATCGCTAGGCTGTATTTGCACTGTTTCAGGATAGGGTAAACCTGCAATGGCAATGTAGGTCCCACCCTGTAGATTAACGACAAGTATATTGATCGAGACGATGCGCAGGCACCGGATTCTAGCCGCCGGCGGGTGGGCGGTTGAGTAATATCATTTAAAGGGGTCTGGGGAGACTGACTCCTGTCATGTGAGTGGGGTTTTAGGGTTCTTAAAAGAAAGTAAATTTTAAAGCAAAGTTAGACTGATCCTCAGTTCCACTCAATGGCTGTATATCAATATATAATTCATACATTGATCGAAAGCACTTATGGCATCCCTGGAACAGTTGGTAGATCTACACCATTGAAATGGTGGGCCAAATCCTTTTGATAAGGTAACATTTTCTGTCCTACCTTTTGATCCATAACCCTAGAAAAGATAGTTCTTACCTTTTCTTGAATAAGTTTAACTAGGGCATCTGAACTTGATTTTCAATATGGTACAATTCAATCTAATGATGTTACTACAAAACAGGATTGTGGGATAAGTTTCAATGGTAGACTTTTATGGATCGATTCTAACACTTAAGACCAATCCTAATATTTTTTTGTTATGAGCTAGTCCTTATTTAATTGTAAATTTTACCATAAGTTTGCTCTTCATCTTGCACTCCTCTAGAAACACCAAGAAAAACTTTCTCATCTTAGCATGGTCCTGATCTAATTGAAACAGTAAACGTGCCTAATGGTACTCTTCTAGGGAGTAGTCATCATATGCGATTTTTTGACTTTACTCTCTGTACCTAAACATATACAGAAGAAGTTTGTTTGAGAATAAATAAAGAAAATAATTGCTCCTCAGAAAGCAAAAAAAAAGAGAAAACAAAATGTCACGAACTTTGTGATAATATAAAAGGTATGATATTGGAATAGTATTTTTATACTATATAATATTCAACCACTTGTTATATATAGCATACCCAATAGATTGATATTTGATATTCTGTTCCCGATATCACTATTTTATTCCTTTTCATTTCTCTACTCCAAACCCTAAAACTTCTTTCCTTCACTGCACATTTTCTGATAAAACTCTCAGTCTAACCCCTTCTCTTTACCTTACCCATCCCTCTGTCCTTCAGTTTTTCAGTTCTCAGCTTTTCCAACACTTACTCTTTCCTCTTCTCCGTTTCCCAATACCGGATATTTTCTTTTCTTTTCTCTATTATTTTAGGGTTCACTATTAAAAAAAAAAGGGATAAGAACCATGGACATTGACTTTTACAAGTCTGTTCCTGAAGATCAGATGGACATGATGATGATGATGATGCAAATGGAAAAGCTTTCTGACTTCTCTGGAGACTACAACGACGTCGCTGAAACTCCAACCATGGAGTTTTCCGGCGGAAGTAATAGCACTAGCAGTGGCTCTCTACCACAAATTGTTGAAAACCCACAAGTTAATTCAGCTACATTCATGCACCTACCATCCACCATATCGTTTAATAACTCTTCCCCAGTCCTTCAAGACCATTCGCCAATGCCCTTCCGGGGCAATTCCGATTCCGGCGGTGAAAACACATTTCCGAGAGAATCCCAGAAGCGAAATTCAATGGCAGCCATGAGGGAGATGATCTTCAGGATAGCAGCAATGCAGCCAATTCACATTGACCCCGAATCAGTAAAGCCACCAAAGAGGAGAAACGTGAAGATATCCAAGGACCCTCAAAGCGTGGCGGCGCGTCACCGGAGAGAGAGGATAAGTGAGAGAATTAGGATACTTCAGAGACTTGTTCCGGGAGGGACAAAAATGGACACTGCCTCCATGTTAGATGAAGCAATTCACTACGTGAAGTTCTTGAAGAATCAGGTGCAATCACTTGAACAAGCAGCTGCTAATAAGCCAGCCGGAATTGGCTTTCCGGTCCCGATTTCTAGTGGGAGTTACTTTCCGATGGCAAAGCCGTACCAGTAGGCTCAATGGGTTCAGCATTATACGGATGCTTATAAGTTGACACTTGACAAAGAGAGAATTAGTTCGTAGTAATTTGTGTCTCTAGTGAAGCTGCTTAATTTGTGGGGATGTAAACGAGAATGCTCTTTCATTTTAATCATGAGGTTATTATCGTAGTCACTTCAAATTGGCATCATCTTTAGACTGTGTGTCGACGTTGTGACTTATGATGCTGTGAATTAGAACTGGTGAATGTATAGAGCCCATCTGTTAGGCATCTCTCTCTCTCTCTCTCTCACACACACACACACACATGCACACACATACACATACACGCCTCATGAAAGAGGGAAATAAATGGCAATTTGCCAGAAGAAAACTTTTAATTCTTGGACCAAGTAACAACATTAACCGGGCAAAGATTGATCGGTTCTTCTGAGAAGAATGGCCAAAACAAATAGAACAGTAGTTTAAATTTTAGTGTTATTAATATTATCCCGGGAAATCCTAACATTAGGTGGGTGAGTTGACAACTATGTGTAAACTATCTACCCAGCATTGGTTCTTTGGCGAGAAAAATCTAGAGCGTGCGTGAGTGTGTGGGTGTGTGAGAGAGAGAAGGGGGGGGGGGGGGGGGGGGGGGGGTGGTGGAG